TTGCTTCTTCAAGTTCAAATAGTCAGATAACATCAGGAGATTCTGAACTGAATTTAAACAGTAAATTAATACCAGAAGATGTTGCTCCAAGTTCAGATAATCAGTGCATGTCAGGACATCCTTATCAAAGTATTAAGAGTGAAATACTATCAGAAGATGCTGATTCAACTTTAGATAGTCAGACAACGTTAGGAGATGTTGCTTTCAGCTCCACTTGTGATTCAATTGACATTTCTTACATTAAAATTGAATATATTGAACAACTTGAAAATATATGTTTTTTTTGTGATAAAAATCGTAAGCAGACTAAGGGTAAAAGACAAAAGCTACATTCGTCAAACGATGCAAAAATTTATGAAAATATCATGGAGTGGATGGAAAAACTCAATAATGAAGAGTTGTTACAGAAAATTGATCTTTTTAAATCCACAAATAGAACAATTCTTTATCATCGTGTGTGCGAATTAAAATATTTAAATGATTATAATAGAGTAGTTACAAAACTTCCATATAAATCTTGGCGTGAATGTCGTAATATCCATAAAGATATTTTTAATCATATCGTGTCAATAATAGAAGAAGAAGTTTTAAACAAAAGAAAATGTGTATTGGTATCATCTCTTTTTGATACGTACAATAATAAGTTGAAATATGAGCAGAAACTTCAGCCTCAGTCAGATATTAATTTAATAACTAATCATTATCTTGAAACAAAAATACAAAAACATTTCAAGAAATCAATTAGAATACTATCGAGACGAAAGAAAAAAATTATTATTCACAAAGATTGCAGTTTATCAGAAGATGATTTGACAAAAGTAAGTATGAAATAGAACATCTATCAATAATAACTAAAGTATCATATAAGAAACGAAAAGAATTAACGCTAATGTTAATTTATTTTGTTACAGATGATAGAAGATTAAATGACAACGACGATTCCCAAGACGATGATGATTATGAAGATGCATCCTTCTTTTGTAACACTATTAAGGACTGAAAAAATGAAAAAACTTAAATACCTCATTGATTGAGGTGATGATTTGCAATTCGTGTGCAAATTCTGTGATGACCAGAGCATTTGAAATAAAAAATGTAATTTTTAAATCTTTAATAATGCACTTTTAATATCCTCCTTTCTAACACAGTTTTATTCTTAATTTTAWTTTATTTTTTATCTTAACATTTTTTTATTGGGACTTGTAATTTTGTAATGGTTTTCTGTCTCCTTCTTAGCAATATATTCTGCAATTGTCTCTCTCTGATTACTAGCATTATACTGCAATACTTTTCATACTTTTCAAGTGTGATCTGATGTTATGTTAGTGCTAGTTGTGGATTGAGAAAAACCGTCCCGGTTCACTTGGGATAGGCACGAAACAAAGTAATCCTATGACGTGGAGATACTGTTCGCCTATTCCCTGCGGTTTAAAAACATTTTTTTTAAATTTAGGATTATTACCTGTACAGGTAGAATGTGCACTATTAAACTCAACCACTACCGCCAGCCAGGTAGTCCAGGCTCTAATTAAAAGAGCAAGAAGAAAGAGAAACATAAAACAATCAGCTGACCTGAAATTATTGTTTTCCCGATGTTGCTAACTCCCGTACTACTAGCCGCCCACCGTTTTGTTGCCTGACGGACCATGTTTCATTTTTTTCAAATCACTCCCTATTCTAAAGAAGTTTTCACTTCAACAATGGTCCTTATAAATAACTTCGGTCCCTTAAAGTGTTCAGTAAAAGGTTCGAACGACCCCATCGGTTTACCAATAATATTCTGAACAGTCTTCACGTTACTAAGGAGAATAACAACTCGTCATCACAGTTTCATCGATTCATCTTTATACTAAGAAGATTTTAATGTGTAGTACATGCCTGAATAGCTCAGTCGGTAGAGCATCAGACTTTTAATCTGAGGGTCCAGGGTTCAAGTCCCTGTTTGGGCGAAATATATTTTTTACTATATAGTAAAACATGAACTTATTAAATAAGAAAAAGAAATAGAACTTCACACTACTTTGTTTTTTTTTATTGACTTTTTAAGGTATTTATTTTAGCACAAAAATTACGTAATATTTTACAAAAGAAAATAAACAAAAAGTTTGAAGTATAATTCTTTTCAGGTAGGCTTAATTTAAATAATAATTAAATAAGGAACTAAATAATAACAGTAGCTTATTTAATTTCGCTAAAGGAAATAATTAATAATAATCCCTGTAGTAGAAGATAAGTTTAATCTTTAGATTAAAATTTTATATTAGCATCTAAGCTAAACAATGACTATTTATTTGAGTTGCGTCGAAAAAAAGGAAGCATTAAAATTTGGAGGAGATCATATCCATGATTTGAGGTTGCCCTAGTCAGGACGTTGGGTGCATTGAAAAAATTGAAAGTCGAATAATTGTAACATCATGCACACCCATTCTGTAAAAAAGTTTAATTGAAAGCTTGGCAAAATGGAATAAGAATGCAAAAGAAGTTATTTTTCAGCATGAAAACGACCCTAAAGACTAGAAAGAAATCATCAAAGAATAGTTAACAGCTCATGGATTTACTTTTTTAGACTGGCCCCCACAAACTTCTGATCTGAACCCAAATTTACAAAGAGATGAAACTAACGTCAAGAGAACAATAAACAAAACTATATCCGTCGATTTCGGTTAAGGTTCAAATTCATCATATTTAAACACACTGTTTATTATGTTTATTTACAGTCATATTGATTTCTGTAACAAGGACTTATACTTTCACTGAATAACTTTCTTTGTCTTGTTAGTCAATATTAAAATTTTATTAGACAGTCGATTAACGTTCATTAAACAATCAAGAAACTGGTCGGAAGTTTTGTATTGTTAATCTTATTAGAGAGTATTCCACTTTTAATAAAACCATTATCAATCTTAATTAAGAAACAAAGATCAGATGTAAATGCATTTACATTTTGTTTTGTTTATTTTTTTTCTCTTCAACAAATAATTGACAAGTATATTACGAAAAGTGAAGTGTGTTTATTGGTGAAAGTGAAAACGAATTTCCACCAGGTCATCTACTTAACGTGCWTAAAATATAACAGACTATTAATTTTTTTCTTGATATAATATAAACTACAATTTGAAACATTAAAAAAAAAAATGACAAACCAAATACATAATTTGCTTTCAAAGTTTGATTCAGATATGATGGAATTTCTTATATGGCAAAATGATTTTGAATATTTTGCCGATTATTTACAAATACCAAAACATTTAAAGGGTCCTACTTTATTAAATATGATTGAAGAAAATACTCGTTCGTTGGTTTTGAATAAAATATGTTCTATCAAACGTTATGATGTTTCATACGATATACTTATAGATATATTAGAAGATATGTTCTCGTGGTATCGAGGAAATATAGCTGCAAGATATCGTTTTGATCATCGACATCAATTTGATGGCGAGTCAGCAAAACATTATGCCGACACATTAACGAGTTTAATTGTTAAATGTAATTTTAATTATGACACAACCTCAATCTTACTCGATCGATTCGTTATTGGTCTAAAAAATAATCGAGTTAAAGACAAATTGATACAAGTACGAGATTTAACGTTGGTCGATGCAATACGTATGGCAGAAATTATTGAATTTCATGAGAAACAATGTCACGACGCTAATAAAAGAATTGATGAAATTTGCAATAACTTTGAAAAGTTTTTAAAATAAGACATGGACACAAATTTTAGAAGAACTCCAAGAATCTGCCGTTACAATATATGTAATCATTTATTTTATTGAGATAGTGAGTTGATTAAAGAATTCGAGAAAACAACAGCATATAATTAATGGATATTGTTTCATATAATCTTTTGTTTCAGATATTTTTACAGGGATTGACATAACAGATGGTTCTGTTCAGATTTTTTATGTATAACTAACCCTTTGCACTTCGCACAACTTTCGACGCTGGGTAGCAGCAACTTTGCACAACTTCGCAGCAGAAATTGCACATTTACAGACCCTCGTATTATTATTTAGTATAACTTTAGAACCAAATAACGGATTTTAATGATATTGGACTTATATTAATCTGTAGACATCAAGGAACATATTTACTTAAAAAACTTTTACCAAAAGAACTTATTTACCAAAAGAATGTATGTGTGTAATAGCGTTGCAATTGAAAAAAAGCGTTCACTTGAAGAAATCAGTTAGTTCTTTGACTGAACACTAGATGGCAGATTCCATTTACCGTTTCTCGTAAGTAATACTATACTTCGAATTGTATATAAGGTTTAAAAAATCACGGTAAAGTTAAGATCATACTTCACAGGATCATTTCTGTAGTATATCTTCACAACTGTTTAGCGTAAAGCTGAGACGTTGCAACTACGATGACGAGTTGTAGTTCCCTTTCCTGAGCGTGAGGACGATTCAAGATCTTGATTGAAATTTCAAGATTTTGATCACCGATGATCGTTCACTCCTTTTACTTTGTAAAGGGAGCCATGGAAAGCGGAGCTTTCTGAGTAGTCAATGAACAATCAACCCAAAATAAAAAACCTTTCAGAACAATTGTATAGTATGTTGTGATTTTTAAGGACCTATGTAATTATTGTAAGGAATTTTCATAATTTGCAAAGGGGCGAGGAGTTTCTCGAAACTTCTCATGCTAAATTTTTCAGGATAAAAAAAAATTGCATTAAAAAAAAGATCGCACAAAAAAGAAATTGCATAGAAAAGGACAGCACAAAAACAAGCTCTACTGTATTTTCTTATTTTTGTATTACTTATAAAACATGTTAATAAAATTACATTAAAAAAAAAAAAACAGATTTTTGGCAATCGTTTTTACACGTGCACGCGTATAAAGATATCTTAATCAACGAGATTGTATTTTATTTTGTTTAATATATTTTAAATATTTTTAAATAATAGATAATTTGTTTATTAGGTTTATAATATTCTCACAATCAGTGATTAAACTGTAATAAATCTTATTTCAATATTTATATTATACATTTTTCACAAATTTTGTAAAATTTTATTGAGCAGTACGCAGAACAGTGAAATACGACATGGATGTACGGACAATCTTAAAGAATAAAAAGAAAACAAAACAATTTATTTATTACTATATATATATAATAAAATGATACATAATCGCGTAATATAATCGAAAAATAAAAAAAGAGTGAAAGAAAGAAAATGAATTATTTCTTACCGAGCTAAAAGTTTCCATAGATATGACAAACATATTTGCAGCAGTTAACGTGCAAGGTAATCTTGATCTAATTAACATAATATTTATTATTTTTCTTGTTCTAATAGATGTTTGATACCATTGCACATTTATTCTATAATAATTAATAATATAATTATTAAAATAATAAATATTTAGGGGTACTTATGCCACCGCAGCAAAAATTTCGCTAATGCGCCAATAAAGAGCAAACTTGTTGTTCGCACACAACAAGCTTGTTGCTTGCACAAAGCAACCGTCAGTGTTTCGTCAGGGATTCATCAGAGTTTCGTCAGGGTTATGGCGACAGTATCAGGTGAAAGAAAATAGAAACTGTTTTAAATCTATGCTAAATTTTATATCGGCTCATTTTCCATCGAAATTCGACTGACTACTTTTTATAAATTTTGAATTTTATAAGTTTTGAATTTTTCAAGTGTTTTGATTTTAAATAAAGTTTTTTATTCTATGTTTTGTCGCAACAATTTTAGATGCAAATTGGCGCATTAGCGGAATTTTGCTGCGCTTGCGTTAGCATATGCGTATCGTAATATATTTTATAACGTTTTGCGTAAATTTCAATAACATTATAACTAAACAAATAAATAAATAATAACTTAAGAATGTATTATTATTAACTTACAAATGTTCATGCATTCGATTACTATGATCTATAAGACGTTGAGCACTTATACATTCAAAAAATAAATGAAGTAATTGTGCATAAGAAAATACCATTTGTTGAAGAAACTTAGCCATTTCGTCCATATACGTAAATGCCTAGAAAAACAATTGTCTATAATTGTGCGAAAATAAAATGCATATACTTAATTATTTTTTCAACATTGATCACAAAATGTATATAATGAGGGATGTACTTGTAAACTCGTAAGACTCATCGCGATCATATTAAGTCCTGCCTGTAGAAAGAAAGACGTGGAATAAAAGGATTCCATCAAATTAGCAAACCTTGATAAACAAAAGAAAAAATTATTATTGCACTTTTTGTTCTTCTTTCTATTACAACTTTTTTTTCATCGTACGATATCGTACAAGATATAATTTAGTTTAAAAAAAAAAGAATTACGAACTCTATCGCTTTTTGATGCCTATAAATACATTCGGCAATATTTTTATATGGTTTGTCATCTTTTATAGCAACATTTACATCTAAATCCAATGTTTCTTTGTCTGCCAAATGATAAAGTTGATATCTGCAAAAAATATTATTGTTGAATATTATTGTGTACTCGTTTATAACACAATTTGTAAAGACTTAAATGTGTTGATTTTTGAAGAAAACATTTTATGAATAATGTCGGTAATATAGGTGTGTCGGTACATAAGACCTTATGTAGTACGTGCATAACTTATCGATAGGGTAGTTACGTAAGTAACTTCTTAATCTGTGCGTCGTTTGAGTATCGTATGAGTATAGTATGAGTCACGTCGAAGTGAAAGTTCTCTTAACTATTGCGTTAACTTACTAACAAATAATCTATTTTTTTATTTAATTTTATTAATAATATTACTTTGCTTGAAGATAATTAAGAAACACTAATTATTAATACTAAATATGCTATTAGATAAAACGAAAAAACTTTTGATTTGAAATAAGGTTTTATAAAAAGAAACAATAATTAAATATACATACCCAATCGTTGAAAATAATCCGCAAACGTGTTGTATAAAAACAAGAAACATTGTGTCAATTGCAATAACTATTGATATACAAATAACAATGGTAACGTAAGAATGAAGAATAATAAAATAATAATATCTTTGATTATCCACGAAATATTCAACGTGATGTACCATTGGTCGTTCATCAGTTTCGTTTAACGTATTCAAAATAAGTGGTTTCAATGGCGTAATCATAAATACCACCATTATTCCATACAAAACACCTAGAATCAAATCATTTATATTCTCTATGATTTATTTTTTTGATTTAAAAAATCGTTTTTTTTTTTCATTTAATTCTATTTTTTATTTACTTGCGTATATAAGTGTAAATTTTCTACCATCTTTTGCGTATTCTTTAAGTGTATGAACTTGATCAGCTTCGGTATATGAAATAATATCCGTTTTAATACGATTAACTAATATCTTCATCTATAATAAATAATAATAATAATAATATTCATTTATATTAAATCATGCAATTATTGTAACAATACATAATACCACTACAAGTATATATAATAATATAATTTGATTTGTAAAATAGGACATGATCGTTCATACCTTGTTCATTTTAAACGTACAATTTAATAATTTAATAAAACTAATTAAATCAATGATGAACGGTGACAAGTTTTCCAATAAAACGTCTATTTCATTGAACGAATTTATCAAAGCGAAGAACTATAAAAGGAAAATCAAAAAAAGCACAATAATATTAACAAAATGTTATCTATGATAAAAAGAAAATTGTTTAAGTTAAGACAGGAGGAGAAGAGGAATGGGTTGAAAGGGATTAAAACAATTAATATAATACCTTGGCTAAATATTGTGTACCAGCTAAAGACAATAAGATGAATAAAGTGAAATTTCTTCGTGTTATCGTTTGATATGGCCATTGTCCAATAAAGGATAATAAAACTTTATTGATCTTATAGTGACGACTATCAAAGAAGTCCATTACGTTGGTGTACTATTTTAAATAGTCACTAAGAGAGAAATACACGTTACCATATGAAAGTGAACATAATGCATTCACTCGTTTTCTTGTCATTTAAGATTCCCTTAGTGACGATAATAGCTGTTAGACGATAAGAGGACATTTGTAATTATGTATGTAACATGTGTGCATTTACACACGTACATTAAAACAATGTACGACTATCAACAATTATTTCCGATAGTTTTCCTTTGGAGTTTCTAAGACTGATTATTATTATTATTGTTTCTCTTTTATTGTAGTAGTAGATTCAACATAGTGAAGAGGATATAATACACTTTTCTATTTTCACCTGTTTCTATTGATATTTCTAATATACTTCATTTGTCTCATTGTAAGTGGTTTATTTCTAATCTAACATATTTAAGGTAAAGGCACTAATGTGTTCGACCAGTTAAAAGAAATGTTTATCTTAAATAGTTCTAACTTTTTTCATTATTATTGAATAGTAAAAGTGATGCATGAAAATATTCTTTGAACTTTGGACGTCATATTAAAATAATATACATTAATGGAAAGTTAAATTTCTTATGCTTAACCCCTTACCCAAAAACATAAGCTCTTCCATCGGGAGACCATGGTGAATGGACCTTTCTACTATTAGAGACTATTGGATTCCCCATTAAACAAGTGCCCTATAAAATCGGACTATGAATTCAAGAACGAATGTCACGGCAGTTTAGATTACAGATTTGATGTGAATAATGAAATATTTTGTGTAACTTGAAAAAACAATAAATGTGTTAAAGTCTTGTCAAATTGTCAAGGTGTACAATCGTTAAACAATGTAACTAAATCGTCCAAGTCTGAGAAAGAACAAATCAAAATAGTTCAATCGTATTGCATAAGTAACTTTAATAAGGTTATGGGAGGTGTTGACAAACTGGACTGGAATGTTAACAAATACAGGATAACAATTGGTGGAAAAAAGTGGTATTTTCCTATTTTTATCAATATCATCGATACAACAGTTGTAAACATCTACGTATTATATTGCCATGCTAACAAAGCCCCATGCCATTATTGGAATTTCGACGAAATATCGTCCGAACATATTTGCAGCAAGTGTCTCCTTTTAATCTTAAAAATTAGAGGCGTAAGGACGGGCCCAATAAGACATTACTTAAAAAGAACTCTTGAAGGAAAACAAAGAAAATGTGCAATGTGCAAAACAAATGTAAGAAAACAATGTGGCAAATGTAACGTCGGTTTACATGTGGATTGTATGAAAGAATGGCATAAATAACAGTTATTCTTGTATGTATGAGAAAATGCATATAATAAAAGAATTAGTTTCCTATTAATTTTCTTTCATGCAACCTGCCACAATCTCCATTTGGGACTTTTTCAAAAATATTAAATATTTTCAAGACAAAACATAATTTAAATATAATTATACTGCTACACAAACTTTTGTGCATATATATATATATATATATAGTTAGTGAAAAATGGTCAATTTCTGGCACATGGTCGATGACTGGTGCCTTCATCCTACATTTATTTTCTAGAAATTTATATTATTTAAATATATATAATAATAATATAAAAATATTCCTTTTTTATTATATTATATTGTAATATTAATATAATATTATTTAATTTAAAATATTAAATTATAACAATTATAAATATATTAATAATATTAACCCACATTACCCGTCGCCATATTACGAAAGTGCAGAAAAAGCAAATTAAATTAACTGCATAATGATATTCATACTAATCAAATAGAACTATTTTTGCAACAATTTTTTTTTATTTATTTAAATATAAAAATTATTGATTTAAAATAAAATAGTGTGAATTTTTAATATTTTCACGCAGCACGAATTTCATTCTGAGGTTGCAGTTATTAAAAAAAAAATGCGTCCTAATAAAAGGCCATTGGCGCGAGTAATGGATTAAATTAATTATTAAAATAATATTATATAAAATATTATATAAATTAATAAATATTAATTAATAATACAATAGAAATAAATGTACATAATCGTAAATTCAAATAATTTATTTCAAAGTAAAATCGATCGATCTTGTATTTGATTTATCGAGATATATCGAGAGTAGTAGTTTCGTAATTCGTCGATAGAGGGAAGTAAATTGAATTTTCCTAGTACAATGTTTATGAGTGATCATGATCAGTGAAGAAATTGTATGAAATCTGTTATTCATTTTTATTAACATAACAATTAAATATTTGTAGAATTGTTTTATTAATTGATTGTTCGATATATTTAGAAAATATGTGTAACGTTAAATGAATTATATGTAACTTTGGTTACACACACCATATATAGTTCGATCTCACTAATCCAACACTATTAAAAACAACCAGAGGTTGCCGAATTATTGGATTACAGTGAAAAAAGTGATAAGTTTTGAGGTTAGACTGCTAGACGGTCTCACTAATCCAGCATTATTAAAAACCAGAGGGTGTGGAAATATTGGAATGTTCGGATTACTGGATTACAGTGAAAAAAAGTGATAAGTTTTGAGGTTAGACTGCTAGACGACGACGCAGCGACGGAGCGCATAAGCGTAGAGGGACGTAGGTGGCGCTAGCGGGGGGGGTGCCGGATTATTGGACGTATCGGTCTATTGAAATATATATATATTATACTTAAAGATTTAAATAACAATTGAAAAGATGCAACGTGAAGAAAAACAATTAGATGCTACCTTAGAGGCTACTATTATGAGAGTCAATGATTTGAAAACATCCATTGCATCGATGATATTTAAATTAGAACACGAATATGAGACATTAAATTGGCCAAATTTTCTTGACAACTTTGCTCTTATTTCTGGACACGTATGTAAACTTATCTATTATTATATTATACCTATATCAATATTCAATATATTATAAATAATAATTCTTTTATATAGTTGACCAGTTTATCAAAGATACTCAGTCATGACAAGGCACCAAATTTAAGAAATCTTACAGTTTTGCCTTTACGTTTAAATCCTGAAAAGGACGAAGAACTTCTTCGATTAACCGAAGGTAGAATTCCAACATTTGCTCATGATTCAGTACCGGATTATTTGAGAACCAAATTGGAACCTCAAGTGGAACAAAAAATGATGCAGTTAGAAGCCAAAGCAGCTAATTTAAATCATGAAGCTTCCCACGTAAGATAATTCTATATATATATATATAATATATATTTTCTTGGTATACGTATTAAGTGTAAAAATATTGTTTTACAATTGAATTTGTTAAGATAAATAAACATTAAAGTAATTTATTCTATTTCTTTGTTAATGTGCTAACTAAACCACACGACTATAGGAATATAATGTAAGCTACTATCAGATAGCTTGTATTTTTTATCAGTTCCATTAACTATGGACTGTGATTAAGATAAAAGCTTAATTCATATTTATATATATATATATATATAGTTTATAATTAAGCATTTGTCATATACAGTCCAATGGAACTCACAAATGACATATTATGGTTTAAATTTCATACGAGTTTTTATATGAATTTCAGAAACAAGTCACGCAATACACTAAAGTTATTAGTCATGTTTGGGATATAGCAAATAAGGCACGTGAGGAATGGGAAAGTGAAGCTGGTAATAGAGCAACACAAGCACAAACGAGTAGTGCAGCGGATACTCATGCACTTGTCGCTGCTGTTGGAATGGGAAAAGGATTGAAAGTAATTAATCGTATTTTTTATGAGACAAAGAATGGTGTTTTTGTCATTAATAAGTGCAGGACACTTTTCATGGTGTTTTTTTTGTTTTTTTTTGTACTATTTGTATCTGTTATAGTAGGTAAATACGAAAAATAGATTCTACATCGATACTGTAAAAATATTATTGTTTAATTTACTTGTATAGTCAGATTCAGTTCCAATGGTTCAGTCAAATGTTAATCCTGTACCAAGTGGTATGATGGTTGGCAGACCCGCAAATCAACAACAATCTGGAGGACAAGGACCTCTTGGAAATACACAAAGTAATGAAATAGTTTTTAAATCATCGTATATAATACTTAATAGAATAGAATTCTATTAATTTTCAATGATTTTCTTATAGTGGGACAAATGAATAAAGCTCCTAGTGCAATCAAAACAAATATCAAAGCTGCGTCACAAATTCATCCTTATGGAAGATAGTGAAATTATTAATATTTTAATTAGAATATGTGCAACATAGATTATTGCTGAAAAACAAAAAGGTATATATTATACACGTTGCATATAATATTTATACATTTTTATTTCTTTTGAAAATTCTGTTTAACGTAATGTTGTTTACTTTTTGTGCTACAATAGCATTAGATCGTGGAGATAATATATTATTCATAACAGGAATAATAATAGCATTTAAACCTTGTTCTCGTAACCAACACAATCGATCTTGTAAGACCATTGATTCTGCTGATGCTTGTAAAATTAATTGTAAACCAGTATAAATCTCAACTTGTTGTAATCTTTGACAATGATGTTTCCATAATTCAGTTATTTCATTTTCAATCAATTCGTGATCATTCAATTTTTCTTAAATACAAATAAAATTCATTTTATGATATTATACGTGATAATCTCATGTGTAACCATGATACATATATTATTTTACCTTCATTTCGTGGTACAGTTTCATTGATAGGTTCCAAAGTATATCGCAGTAAGGTATCCTTCACATAATTTTCAATACTAGAACATTGTGATAGTCTTGTAGCTTTTCGAACTTGCTTTTTTAAATATAATTTATCTAAAATCAATTATATGAATTATAATATATATATACACACACACACACACACACATGTTTACTTACTTTGGTTTACATATAATTCAAACACAGCTCTAGCAAGTACATGGAAAGCATGTATATCATGTGAATCCTGTGACATATTGATCCATCTTTCAGCAGGTTCTTGACATGCTAGTCTTAAAAATGGTTGTCTTAAAAACATACTAGTATCTAAATTAGAATAATCAATTGCTTTCTTAAGGCATTGCGACATTGGAAAATGATCAAAATGTTGTACAACACCATTAGAAATGACATTTTCATTTTTAGATACAGTAAGTTTATGGTAACAACAAGAAATTAAAATCAATAATTGTGCATTCTTCATATGATTGAATATTTTTGATACGTATACGCTTAAGTCACCGCAAGCATGTAATCCAATAAAACAAAGATTATCAATTTTTCCAAATTCAGATAATATTAGAGATTCTATTGTTTCTATTGTTTCTATTGAATGACACGATAATTTACAGTAGGCATATTTAACATGATTTACAGATGTTGGATAGATATTCATTTGCCTATTACGTGCTACAGTTATATTTGCTTCATTACCATCTAATCCAAGCACTTTATATCCATATAAATGGTACAGTAATTGACTGACATATCCCTACAAAAAAAAAAAAAAAAAAATAAGAAATTATATATACTTTACAGTGTATAATATTATATATTCAAAATCTAAATTATAACTTCTGTAAAACAATACATTCTTGATATCTTACCAGACCACTACCAAAATCAACAATAACTTCAATCTTTAATGTTTTACATTGTGCATGTATCAATTCTGCCAAATGTATTATTTCATGTTGTTTTTTAGGATTTAACCGTTTTATAAATTGTTGCGGCACTTTCAATGTTGTTGAAGGATTTACACGTGATAACCTATTAGTATATTTACATTTGTCTATGAATTCTTGAAGTGTTTTAGGCCATACTGGCTGTAATATTTAAAAAAAAAAAAAATAACAATTATCAAATGTTTATAGATGTTGGAAAATATTTGTTTTATTATTAAATCATTTTTATCATCACTAAATTCATATTATTCAAGTATACTACTACTTACCAATGTTTTGTTAACAACAAAGTTATTTAATTTGTTATTTGATAAGCTTTGCAATACATCTAACCATTCTTTAGGAATAGCATCTAACGATCCATTAATTAATATTTCAGTAACTGGATGATTATAAATCCATTGTGTTTTATGAAATAAACATAATGCTTCGAGAAAATATTGAATTAACAATTCTTCATCCCGTTGAGAAAACATCATAGTTATGTGATAATTGAGAGATTAATAATTTGAAATTTTCTATCACGTGCACAATTATGATTAATTTATTAATTAGATAAAATATCATTTGAAATTATTCTACATTTGTTACTTTTTTTTAATGTTTTAACTTGAATCAATCTGATGTAGTCTGTTTTATCATTTAAGGTATAGTTGTGTAAACGGCCTGCAGAGGCGTGACTGTAGATACGTGTCCGCCACACTGAATTGATTGAAGCGCCTTCGCGCCTTGACGCGCGAATATTTCAAATTTCTTTTTATACGATAGAAACACTGTTGATTTTTTTTTTTAGAAATAAAATAGAACAACGGGAAAAGGAATATTTTTTATTTAAAAAAAAAACAATAAATAAAAATATTAATATAATTATAGGTGTAACTCTCTGCATACAAAATTATTACAAATATATTATTATAAATATATTGTTACATCACAGGAAAACAAAACCTCTTATTTCATCTATGTAATAACCAAACAATAACATTCAATAATAACATTTATATACACACTATTAATCTTCTTCAAAATATTAAAGTAACTTTTTTTATTTAATTATTATATTAATTTAAATATTTATAAATATTAGTTTGCTTGTTCTAATATAAAATAATATCTTTTGTTTTATATTCAATTATGAAGATTTTACACTGCCATTACTGTGACGCGACGTCAACGCCAATGTTTATTATTAAAGACTCTGTCGGTAATGTAGATTTTCAATGTATGATACTGATTAATACTATATATGATAACTGTACAGAATACCTACACACTTTGCGTGTAAAAAGTAAATTATTAATTTATATTTTCACATACAATTTACTAGATTTATGTGAGACGATGATTATAAATTATTAAATTACTTATACACATTCTTAATAACGTGATGTTTTATTTGACAGTTTTGTTATTATAAAATTCTGTCAACATTTGATACTTTTATTTGTTGGAAACAAAATATTTGTTTCTAACTATTAAGTTTGATTATTACTTTAGGTTTACCTTTATGTCTTCAGATATAAATTTTCCTCAAAATTATTTTCGTTTAACATAAATAGACATGATATATATATATATATATACACTGTATACATTTTCTTATATATATCTTGAAAATAATATTAATAATTTCGAATGAATAATATAATTATTTGATAATACTTATTTCAGTTGATTATTAACTTTATTGTTTTTTTTTTTTTTAATTATTATAAATAGTCCAATTTTCCATTTGTCTTTGCGACAAATCATTATTCTGTGGTCCAAGAAGGGCACGACCAATTTTAATACCTTTTTGTTCTGGTTTTAAAAATTTGTCAACAACTTCCATAATCTGTTCTTTGTTAACACTTTTTAATTGTTCTCTTTGTACTTGTATATCATTATCGGTAATTTTATTAGTAAATTTAAGTAAACCACGTTGGGATGGAGATAATGGAGCATCAATTTGTTGAAAAACGGCTAATTTAGCTTCGTCTATTTCTTTGTCAGACAATTTGTAATTTTGAAAAAATTCGTACGACTTATCAAATATATCAAATGTTTTAGTTGAATTAGGATCTCGATAAGAATAGAACGTAAATGTTCCTGAAGTAGTCAAGTAAGCTCCACCACCATAAGCTCCAGCCTTTTCACGAATTTCAGGATGTAAATAAAGCGATGTAAGAAGTTTCGATAATATTCGCAATTTGGCATATTCTGGATCAACATATGGCACTGTTAAAATTGCCTTTGATGAATAATTAACTGTATATGGTAAAACATAATGTATTGCATTTTGTTTGCTATTATTATCATTATCATCTGTAGCTGTAGTTATAATATACGGTTCTTTGATATCATCTTTTAACGATTTGTAAAATGAATTGATACTTCGTAAGATATGTTCTTTATTTTCATTAGAAAAATTAAGTGCAGATCTTAAATGTTTTTTGTTCAAAACATATCCAGCTATTTCGTTCATTTGATTTAATATCGGTGTTAAATCATCAAGTTGTGCTATGTTCTTCATTCTTTTTATAAATTGTAATCCAGAATAATTTTCTTTAAGATTAGCTACAGGTGAAACCAAGCTACTAGCAATCGTGGATGCATAATGATGTCCTTGATTAGCAATACCACTGACTAAATATGCCGCATTCGTTTTAACTAACGTTTCAAATCTTTGAAGATCATCTAATTTAACATTATTGAATAATTCTAACCATAATCCCCACATATCATTTATATTTCGATCTAAACAATATGATTCTATCATAATACCTTCTTCGTATTGCATGACATTACTTTTATGTTGAGCTACGTGAGTATCAAAGTTTAATCCACCAGTTTTTAATTGTATCATTTGATCAAAACTTCTGTAATCATAATTATTAGTAGCCATTTTGTCTATAATAGAAGTGAACAGTGGTAATAGATCTTTTAATTCTTGTGGTAATCTTTGCGTATTAATTATTCCACGATAATAAGAAATTCCATTTGTTGGTTGTACTGTTACTTGTAATGGAACACCAGAGACATTTACGTTCAATAATTGATATCGTGTTACATCCTCTTTCAAATCCTCTATTTTTAAAGTTGGAAGAAGATCTTTATTATCCTTTTTCTCTTTTTCCTTTAATAACATTTGTCCTTGTTCATATATTTGATCTAATTTTTCTTTGGACAGTTCATTCAATTTAGTTTTTAACAATTCTTGTTCGGCAACAGCTTTTTTATCATCATATTTTTCATCGGGTGACATTGTTACCGTCAATCTATGATTATTATTTATTAAATATTTCTGCACTAGATCTTGAAGATAATTAGGATTGTTTTTCATTTTATCTAAAAACTTTGTAACTAATTCATTTATTCTCAATGATTGTTTAATATCACAATCATGATTCCATAGAGACATTATTTTAAATAGAATACCCAATCCAAAATTAGATGATTGATGTTTAACGCCTAATTCGACGCCATGTAAAACAACTTCTATTTGATTTTGTTCGAAACCTTCTTCAATAACTTTTTGTAAAGTTTCGTCAAAAATTTGTTCTACTTTAGAAAAATCTTCAGGTTTGACACCTTGTAGACTTACAGTAAACATTGTATCTTTACGTTCAGATTCATAGCCAGTACTTGAACCATAGCCAGTACTTATATTTGATTCAATTAAGCTTTTATAAAATGGCGAATTAGGACCATCTAATAATAACTTAGCTAAAACAGCCATTTCAAATGATAATTGTAAATCAGTTATATCATTACACAAAAATCCTATTGCAATGGAACCATTTCTACTTGGATCTGCGATCATAGGATCTGGTCTACAGAAAATATGTTCGTGTTTAGGTTTATCCCATCGTTTTTCTGAAGGAACTAACGGTACTGGTGTATCAGTCTTATTCGATGATGAAAGATATTGATCATTGATAAACTCCAGATGACCTTCAAGTGGAAAATTGCCATAAGAATAAAATCTTGCATTGGATGGATGATAATAAGTATTATAAAAGTTTAAAAGATCGCTGTGTTTCAAAGTAGGTATAACAAGAGGATCTCCACCAGATACATGAGCATAAGTGTGACTTGGTAAGATTGAATTAAAATATTTTTGAGCTAATATCGTTTGATTTTCATTAAATACTCCTTTCATTTCATTAAATACTACACCCTTAAATATAATAGGAGAATTTTGATCATTAACATCGGTATGTTCTAATCTCCATCCTTCTTGACAAAAATCTAATTCTCTTAAATTAGGTTTAAATACGCTATCTAAATAGACAGATTGCAAATTTCTGTAATCTTTCAAATTTTGCGTAGAAAATGGATACATCGTATAATCTGGAGCAGTAAGGGCATTCATGAATGTAACTAAAGATCTTGACAACATTTGAAAGAATGGATCTTTGCATGGATATTTTTCACTGCCACAAAGTGTCGTATGTTCTAATATATGTGGTACACCTGTAGAATCTTTAGGTAAAGTACGAAATGCAACACCAAATACATTATTACTGTCATCTCTTGCCAAATGTACATATTGTGCTCCAGTAGATAAATGTGTAAGCCTTATCGCAGTAAGATATATTTCATCTATTTTTGCTATTTCATCTACCATAAAACCATGTAGAACAGTTCCCTTCTGAAATTTATCCGACAGACTATCTATTCCTTCGTGATTTATCCTTTCACATTTTACATTTACAGAATAAGATCTCTTTAAGCTATGTAATGTAATGTTCTTTTTCTTTAAATAGTTTTTGTTTATGAGTTTCAGTAATCTTAACATTGTGTGATTATCACTAAAAAAAAAGAATCAATAAACATGTGTCAATTAATTAAATTGTATGAATAATTTAATGTTATGCTTTCAAATTAGTACAATTGATCAGATTTTTATCATTAATCAAAATAATGTTACAATTAATACAATAATAATTAATTAGAAGATGAGTAATAAAAAGTATTATTGAAAAGTAATAAAACTCGCTAGTATTTTACTTTGAATTATTATAAAATGAATGAAAGATATTTACTTTATTTAATGTCCACAATATATTTCAATGTTTTATTTAAAAGAAAAAAAGAAACGTTTATTGAAAGAATTCTTAACAACAGATATACAAATTGTACAAATTCTGATGCAACAAAGCGGCATTCATCGATGATGAATTATTACGAGAAATTATATCACAAATTAATGATTTTACAAATGCAAATTTATTTATTACCTTATATTATTGTCTTCCTATGTAAACAAGTTTTGACAATCTAATTTGACACAATAGATTATAACTTTTTATCTTTTCGGTTAAAAATCAAATTGAAAACGAACGGTTGGTTGATTGAGGAAGTTTAACCGATTTTACTCGAGCAAGGAAATAATAATCATAAGAATAGCCATTTTATATTCATAAATTTGCAGTCTCCAAAATAATGGCGCCATTGCAATGGAATTATGAAAATTCGTTTAACACTTTTAGATATATATCACGGGAAAACTATTAAATTTATTATTTCATTTTGTATTTATTATGAATAATAAAATAAATCAATGATTTGTCTTTAATTCGTAACAAGAAATACGTTGTATCTTTGTTAAAAATAATAAACAAAATATGAAAGAATCAAAAGAAACGTGAACGAACATTGGAAAGAAGAATGATGATTGGCCGTTGAAGAATTGAAGGATTGAATATGATTGGTTAATACATTTTCGAACGGATCAATGGGACTTTATCAGCTGTCACAGAGGGCGCCGCCATTTTGCGGTGAAATTTATAAACTCGTTGAATTCTTTCGAATACGTAATAGGGGTGCATCGCGTCGAATAAAAGGCTTAAGTTCTATGACGAACGAAAGAACGCGCAAAGTGCTATCGGTCTGACTTCCGTGGGCAATACATAGAGAGAGAGAGAGACAGAGAGAAAGAGAGAGAGAGAGAGAGACCGTCAACCGATTGTCGTGTAAGACTGTTGTGTGTTAGAGGTCCAACATGGGCCGCGGATGAGTGCTATCAACCGTGACCGATTTATGCCGGAACGATCGGCGTTAAAGTGTCGAGCGTTGTAGTTATGAGGGTGAAGCGTTTACGATCATATTGCAAGCGCTTCGGCGAATTGTCGGTACGCGCGAGTGGAGGCTCTCGAATGGCGCCCACGCAGGACCTAGACCGGAGAGTGCGATGCTAACAAGTAGTAATAATAATAGTAGTTGTAGTTGTAGAAGTAGTAGTAGTAGTAGTAGTAATAGTAGTAGTAGTATTAGTAATAATAGTAATAGAAGTCCAGCTGACTCTGACAAAATGGTAGGGCCCTCTCTGTCGGCGGGAGGTTATAGATTCGTACGTGCTACATAATCCGGTACCGTCGCGGTTAGGGTACGATGAGTACTGATAATCATGATCAGTCCAAGCCCAAACCACCACCATCATCGTCAACATCATCATCATCATCGTCAACATCAACATCATCTTCATCATCTTCATCTACATCATCGTCAGCAGCAGCAGCAGCAGCAGCAACAACAGCAACATTACCACCACCACCGCCGCCACCACCGCTACCACCTCCACCTGCGATACCGCCATCGCCATCACCACTACTATCATCATCGTCTTCTACGCGAAACAACGTACCCATCGACGAGTACGCTTTTGACGGTACGCGCATCAAGAAAGAACAAAGTGACACTTGTCTCGAGAACGGTGACGGCGCCGGTGCCAGCAACAACGTCAGTGGATCAAACAGTGGTGGTGGCGGTGGTGTTGGTTCTGGTTCTGGTTCTGGTGCTGGTGCTGGAGGAAACGCTGCTGCTATCACAAAAGCCGGTATCAACGACAACAAGAGAGGACCGGGGGGTACCCCCGCTACTCCAACTGCTGGTAGACTCTCCAACGGGTTCCACGAAGGCGACCTACTTCAGGACATCATCGCGGCCAAGTTCACGACCCTGGCGAATCACGGTTCCACCGGCAAAAACGACAAGATTCGTCTGATGATCGAGGACAGCGTCAGGTTCATATATATTTAACATTATTTGTTTTCTCTCATAACTTGATTATTTCATTATTTTCATTCATAAGATTTTCATATCTTCTCTTCTTTCTTTTTCTTTATTAAGATTTATATTAAGAATACATATTAATGATTTATATTACCTTAAAGTTCGTATTTGATTAATTGACGAGGTAAATCAACGCTAATCCTAAATCGACAAGTACTTTATTAGTTACTTTATTATATATTAAAAGATATATAAATAAATTCTTACTTGTATTATTACTTTCTTTATTTTATTTTATTTTATTTTTTTTTGTATCACATTGTATATCTTTTGATGCAGTTTTCCATACCTGGAAAAAAATTGTTCTCTTTATTTATAATGTATTCTCATTCATTCGAGTATAATTCGTCCAAACGTTTTATCAAATAAAATAATATATATATATATTTTCGAGTTAGACCGAATAATCAATAGCATGATTATTTTTCAAATTAACTTTTATTTATTTCGATTTGTATTTTTGACGCTTTTGTTATTTAACAGGAAGAACATAAAAAAAAAAAGAAAGAAACAATTGGCATAAAATAATCATAAAAGTATCAGCAGAAATATTTGATGAATAATTATTGTCAACCATTATTTTCATATTCATGATTTGTTAAAATAAACAAACGTATCACATTCTCATCGATTTTTAATGTTGAGATAGATTTTCTTTGTTTCTTTTTTTTTTTTTTTTTTTTTTTTTTTAAATACATCATAATTAATGAAGCTTTCTTTGTATGTTTAAATATATAGCGAAGAATCAAAATCACGAGTTCAGGAAATATTTTCCCAAGTTGAGCAACTTAAAATAGAAGAAAAATTGTTGCTGTATCTGAAGCTACCATTGTCGTTGAACAATACAGGAGGAACCGTTGATCCATTGAGGCAGCCATTAAATCCATTAGGAAATCGTTATGAAATTCATCAGACTATTATGTGGATTAAAACACATTTGGAAGAGGATCCTGAAGTTTCATTACCGAAACAAGAGGTCTATGAAGAATATAAGTATGTTTAACATAAATATATTATAAATATACACTGGATCTCTGTAATGAATTTCTTGTAATCTTAAATAAACCGTAATATTTATACAATATTTATTTTTTTAGCATGTACTGTATAAGGAATTCTATGAAACCGCTATCAACTGCAGATTTTGGAAAAGTTATGAAACAAGTTTATCCACGGGTACGTCCTCGAAGACTAGGCACACGAGGCAATTCTCGCTATTGTTATGCAGGAATGCGCAAAAGAGTTAAATTGGAAGCTCCAACGTTGCCTAACATATCTGGAACACAAACTGTGAGACGCATCTTATTTTGTTTGTTTTTTTTGTTTTTTTTTTTCTAATATCTTATATGTATTATATAAATGTTAAATATAATACTTTAACGTATTAATAATGATTATATCAGTTGTTTGATATTTTTAGGAGGATGGTACGGAAGAAAATATTACTGAAGAAATGCTAGGTGCTGCTTCAACGTTAATTAGGGAATGGGCAGAAAATCTGTTAGGTTTTAAATTTCCAACATTGAGTGCCTTAGCACGTCATCTTGTGGATAATGTTTGTGTCGATGTACGATCGTTAGCTGCCATATGCATTTTATCTGCTTCAAGGAAACCGGATACTTCATCCAACGAAGGTATATACAATAAAATATTTATAATATTTTGATACTAATCAATAAATATATTTAATCGATAGAGTCAACAACTGATTTGTCAGTTACATCGATAACTGGAAAACCAGGAAAATTAAGAGAAGCGCAGATACAATTACAACGTAAGCTACAACAACGAGAACATATAAAAGATCAAAAGCATAGGCACATTGACAATGTTACACTGGTATGATATTAAATTATTCATGATATTAGAAATTCCATATAATTAAATATATATATATATATATAAATATAAATAATATTTTTCACAGAATCAGAGTAAAGAGAAGATAGTTGATAATAAAGCAGGAGTGAATAAGGGAAGTAAAAAAGTTAAGACCAATCAATCGCCTCAGGGTACAAATACGCCAGCTGGACAATATGTGTTAAACAAACATAATCTACCTGCCACTGTTACAGTTCGGCAGAAAAAGGTTCTTAAAGCTAGCAGTCAAGCTTGCAACAACGTTTCTCCGGAATCTAACTGTGATAATATAGTGGTACAATCGATCGAAGATGTTCAGAATAATAGCAGCACTAGAGTAGTAACGACCAATTGCGTTAATTCAAAGCGAGACGTTAAACCTAAAAATTCCAGAAAGCGTGCCAATCTCAATGTACCAAATCAACCATCGGAATCCAGTCCTGAGAAGCAAACTAAACTTGCAGAACAGCAGGTACATGAAAATGTAGAGCATTCCAGTATGTTGTTACCTAGGCTCTCATCTGTACAACGTGCGGGGAAAATATCAGTGATATTAGCTAGTAACCTGAAGCCTACCAAGTGTAAAGCCACAGAGGCTGTTAGTAATCAGCCTGCCAAAAACTGTGATATTGAATTGCCAATATGTTCCAAAAATTCCATCAAAATAAATGGTTGTCCCAGTAATTTTGATTCCAATGGAAATGGAACTGAAACATCGACTCTATTAACCAAGGATCAACTAAGATTGTTGCAAGAAAATTCAAACCTCATAAGTAAGAATGATAAGCTATGTTCCCTCGATGCGGATGCTTTGGATGATTATTTAAACGGGGGTAATAATTCTCAAGAACAAGAAGAGGAATTGTTGCAGTATTTTCAACAGAATAGTTCGTCTAGTTCAGATGTAGAGGCAAATGCCATTACCGGTGACACAGAACAAATCTCAAGATCCGACAAAGTGTCTCAGCTAAGATTAATATTAGAACAAAATTTAAAGGCTGGTACCGAGCACCCACCTATCGACATAGTATCCGCTACTATTGTCAGGCAGAATACGGTTAGTGAAAAACAGGAGGTTACTCAAACGCATAATTTGATACTTCCAACATTGTTAAATCATTCGAATCAGACTAATACCAGACGCAGGGTTAGTTTTGAAACGAATGTCGTCGAACATGTACAAGATTCCAATGTTGTTGCAAATACCGTACCTCAAAGCCCAAATACGCGTCGTAGGATATTTAATTTCACACCAATATCGCCTGGTCCACATTCGCCTATCAATGGTCGTGCTTCCAAATCTAATTCAGCAAATGCGAGTCCCTTCGTATCACCAAGAAATACACCAGTGCCTCGATCACGGAGTAATCTACAGGGTGGCAGTTTTAGATCACGAGCAAGTCAAAAATCATTGTCGCGTTCCATATCATGCAGCATGCCATATACTGGAAAGAACGATACATTTGTAGTACCTACTAGTGGTCCTGAATTAGTACGACAGGTGTCCATGCCGCAATCACCTCTTACTTATACAAAGTCATCTGAAGTACAAGTTGGTGGTAGCACGACGCACATTGCTATAACATCCAAGCAAGAAAATCAAGGATCACAATGCCCTCCATTTTTAGCATCTGATTTGGCACCGCAAAAACAACTGCTTATTAATTATCCAAGCCAAGAAAATTTACAAGAGATTAAGAACGTTTATCAAAGATCACAACCAACAGATCAGGAGATCAGTGAATTATTGCTTGGCAATAAACAGTTTACCACAGAACAGCTTTTTTATAGATCGCAATCTGTTCCTTTACATCGTATGGTAAATCCAGCGTTAATGTCTCCTATCTCAACGCAACAGTGTATCTCAAGTTTTCAAAGTCATAGTTTTAATCCATCAACAAGCAGTTCAATAGCTCCTACTCCTGTACCTAGTGAATTCAATGACTTTGGTTCTATAGGTCAATCAGAAGGGACTTCTTATTTATTAAATGACGTCGATCCTAACTTTATATCGGACGATCAACAATTTTTAATGAACGACAAAGAGATTTCAACGGAAAATATAACTAATATTCTTAATATACTGAGTGAGGAGGGATCACAAAGTTTACAGATTTTACCTGAACAATCTGGTGAAGAAGATTTGATAGATAATAATGGAATAGTTTTAGATACTTTACCTAATTCTAATATCAATTTGTCTGAAGAGGACATGTTAGACTCTTCTAATGTTCTTGATAGTTCGGTGAATGGAGCATTGCAGAAGATCATGCAATCTCGTTCTTATCCAAATACGCCACTTCCTGCACCGGTATCAACGTATACACCATCTTACGCAGAAGATAGTAATGGTTCAAGATCGTATCCATCGACACCTTTGCATACAGTTCAATCTCAGGAAGTTTATCAAGAGTCTAACGAACCAATGCTCTCAAGTCCTACGTTAAATTCATTGAATTTACACGGAGACACAACGAGTATTACAACATCGGATAATGGTTGTAGGAACGTCGCAGATTTACTTGGAACCACCTTCCTAGAAGAGCACGACGGTGAAACAGACGATTTGGATCCTCTTAGCAATTTTGATGGATTGCAAGATGTTGATCCATTGACTCCTTTGTTCAATGAAGTGACAGAGCCTAATCGTTGAAAAAAAGGTCTATTATTGACACGAGGTAACTCAGATATTATATTGCATTCTTTATAGAAATTTATTAAATATTTTTTTATTTAGTAGTTCTCTCGCATGTTTTTCTCATCAATTAATTATATATATATATATATATATAAATATATATATCATATATAAGTACTTTGTAAAATAATAAATACACAAATGTATTATTATTATTATTATTATGCAAAGTACTTTGATATTATCGTTATCACAAAGAGAAATTTTAATGAATTTTTTTAGTTCATTCACGGTGTCACAGATGTCAATCTATTTTGATTAAGTTTAACGTTTAATTATGAACATTTTTTTGTATTTTTCAATTTTCATTATATTCTCTTTTTTTTTTTTTTTCTTAGGCTGCTATTTTTTTTTTTTTGTTACTTCAATTATTTTTMTAATTATTGCAAGATTTGGACAAATTTAGGATCACCTTTTTCTCATAGTTTCATTGCATAAAATTAATCAATTTTACTCATTGATATAAAAAAAGGATTATAACAAGAACAATAACAACAACAACAACAATAACAACAAAAGAAACAAATAAAGTTTAAAAGTAAAGATGCGATGGAACAATTTTTGTAGTAGCCTGTTTTTTTTTTGTAATATCTGATATTGACAATATTTTCCGATGATTTTACGAGAACACACCAACACACATGATGTTCTCGAATATTTACAGAATAAAAAAAAAACCCCCCAAAAAAAAAAAGCTCATATAACTGCCGTATTTTTAGAAAACTCGCGTATTATTTGAATTGTCGTATATCTAATTTATATTAAACAATAATAAAGGCACTGTGACACGAGAAGAGTTTTAAACTTTTGATAGTGTTTTTTCTGACTGCCAACTGTCAAAACATTATATGAAATATAAAATATTATAATAAGGATTTTAAAATCTTTTGATGCAAAATTAAAATTATTATAATAATGTTAAAATAATGGACAATGAATAAAGAAGAAAAGAAAAGAAAACAAAAAAAAAAGAAAAGAAAAGAAAAGAATTGCTCTCAACTGAGGAGGAGGACTTATTGCTATCTTATATCATCTTACATTAGATATGAGAAAGAGAGAGAGAAAAAAACAAGTTGATTTTATACAAATACTTTAATATTCGTCGTTTTCAAGTGCTTGTTTCTAACCAGGAGACCGATGGTCCGATCGTCGCCCCTCCAATTTTGTTTGAAATTTGGTACACTTGTAGTAGTAGTCCATGAGAAGATTCATGGTGCTTTTAAACTTGGCGCATATAACCCAGTTAATATAATTGTACAGGCTACAATTTTATTCCACATATATAAAATACCACAAGTATAGACATAATATAATAAACAAACCTATCAGTATGAAAGGTAAGAGATCAGGGACACCAGCGACAACATGGAAGAATCCTCTCCGATCATTTGATTCCACAAAAACTTGAAACAATTCACAAAAGAGCGCACACCGCCAAGAATGATTACATCAGATCTGTTACAGACAGTCCTCCTTGCAAGGTAGTGCAATTATATGACAAGTTTGTGGACTCAGGCAGTGTTGTAGTCTCACAACCTGTTGATTCTAAAATAGGTGGGAGGAAACCAGTGGAGAAATCCTCGTCGAGGGCTCCAACAACACCTGTAATTGTTTACCCAACACCTACAATCCCTGAGGTGTCAGAACCTCCCCCAGAGAGTGAGACACCCTCTCGTGGTACTTCTCCTGATGATCAGGAAGCTCGTTATCATGGGATTGGTGCAGATGATATAGATAATGATGACATTACCAATCTACCGGTAGCTCAGAGTACACCAAACTATGGTGGCAAGTATGGAATGGATGATGATGTGATGAATGTCTGATTCGACACACAATGGTGGAACCCATCAGGTTCAAGGCTGTGATGGATCTCTGGTTCAGAAATAGATGGGACAATCTGACAAATCCCCCAGCTGAATTGGAAAGCATTCATTATCTCTATTGTGTCCCTGCTGAAACCACTATTCTTCAGGCAATTGAGGTTTTACAGTATGTTAGTAACAACCTGGCAATGGCTAGGATAAGGCAAGGACTAATAGCGGAGACAGTCACCCCCTCAAAGACTAAAATCATGGCTGACTATATGGGCCAAGTTTAAAGACACAATGAATCTTCTCATGGGACTACTACAAGTGTGCCAAATTTGCAAAAAATCGGAGGGGAGGTAGATCCCCTGGGTAAGTCATTTAAGAACATGTTAATGTGACTCTGTTATTTAACCACTCTATGAAATATTAGCAATCAACTGTTAGGCATTGGTATTGTGCGGTATTGAAACCAGTATATATAATAGAAAAACGTATATACTTTATAATCCTATAATTGATTAGTAATTACATTATTTTTTTTTTTTTTTGTAATAAAGTATACAGTCTTAGTTGATTCTATTTTTTTATTACTTATCAAATGAAATTTATTCAAACGGTGTTTTGTTTTTTGTTTTTAAATCTTATTACAGTGAACGCAACGTTTTAAAAAAACCCCTTGCATATACTTTGGTATATATTATATTAATTTTTATATCATTATATTAAAAAGAACATTATAAATTATTAGATGTATATTAACCAGTTAAGCGTGGCGATGATCTGTGCGCAGAGTGCGCGCTCTGGTGTGTGTCGCGATAATCAAGCGACGACGGATATAGTCGTCGGAACACGCTTAACTGGTTAAATCTTCTCGCTCTTCTTTTTCTTATTTTTTGTTTTGTTTTGTTTCTTTTGTTTCTTCTTCGTTTTTTTTTCTTCTTATTTTTAATAATGAACGATTTGTAAAAAAAGAAAAAAAAAAGAAAATTGATCTCTCTTCCAAGAGAATGTGTTTTATATTTTATATTTATATAAAAATTATATATATATATGTATATTAAATTTTTATTCTGTTTATAAATCAAATATATATTTTAAATCTGATTTGTTTGTTACATTGATCGGTTAAAAAAAAAAATCTTCTTTCGTTCTTTCAATTATATATTTTATGAGACGAATTAGGAACAACGGGGTTAAAAGTTTTATCGAGTTGACACACTTTATGACACGTGTAAAATTTAAAATTTATGTTTTACAACATAGAACATAAATGTGTTGTATGTATTACGTACATACATTACGTATGTAATAAATAAAAATACGGTGATCGTGATTTATTCGCATTTAACTTATACATAAATTATTATTATTATTATTATTATATATTTATATGGCCGTATATATTATATATATATATAGCATATGTTATATAAATATATATATACATAAAGTGTTATATTAAATTATGTAATTAAATGTTTTTCTTGATTTTTTTTTATTTGTTTTTTTTTTAAATCAAATTTTAATCCTTTCTGTGACTGACGTATATATACGGCACCCGTCGCGAAACAGTTTTAATAAATATTTTCTTAAAAGGTTGATTTATAAAAAAGAAAAAGAAAGAAAAAAAAGAAACACTAAAAACACATACTTTTCAATATTTATTTGATTCTTTTTAACACTAGATATACACCACCATTTTCAGTATACCTCTTTCTACTACACTAGTCAAAATGACTGGTGTATACAAAAAAAAATGCTTTTTGAGACTTCCAATCTTTATTTACTCTTAAAAAATAACAAAAAAATGTTTAACAATAATAATTTTAATAGTTAAATGGATTGATTAGACATTTTTAAATAACAAAATGTTGAATTACTTACAGAAATTAAATGTTATCATGAAGTAGACATTTTGAATTAAAAAATGGCCGACCCGACCAGTCAAAATGGCTGGTCTGATATATCTAGTGTTTAATTTCAGGATTATTACTCAGTTATTTCTTAATAACAATAAATATAAAATAATTTGTAAAAATTAAAGATGAAGAATCATTACACAGAGATTAAACAAAATATCAAATAACATTTGATGAACGACTTATTTTTTCTTTCTTTTTTATTCAATTATTTTCAAAAGATTAAAAAAGCATTTAGCAAAATTTCGATCACGAATTTAATTTTGTTTCAATTTGCGTTTTGCTGCAACGACAACGAATTATGTAAAAAAAATTAATGAGGATTTGTTCTTCTTTCTTCTTTTTTTTTTTTTTTTTGCTTTTTGTTTTCTTCTCTTTCATTTTTTTGTTTTTTTTTGTTCTCAAACGCAAAAATTATTCGATTAAGATTGTTTTTTATATTGCATTAACGAAAATCGTTGTGCATAAAGTTATTATATTTGTACAAATATTAAAAATTGATTATTAATAATCAAGTAGTATATATAAATATATATATATATATGTATTTGTGATAGGGGAAAGAGAATAAGAAAAGAAGAGAAAAGAAAGAGAAAGAGAAAGAGAAAGATTTAATATAATTAACGAATAAATCGTGATAGAAAGAAAGAAAGAAAGAAAGAAAGACAGAGAGAGAAGATCGTATTTGAAAAAAAAAAAAAGAAAAAAGGAAATAATATATAAAACCGGATTTATATTCACAAACGTAACTTAATTACTTACGAAATATTCTTGTTGTGAGAAATATATTTAAAAAAAAAAAAGTATTTAAACAAAAACATTCGACCAATTCTCAAAAAATCTTTGCGAATTTCTATAAGAAAAAAAAAAAAACAATTAAAATAAAATAAAAAAGAAACTGCTACTTGTAATTAAATATAAGTAAGGAACACGTATTATGATATTATAATTGTTACACGCACAAAAAACGATTTATAGCTAGAAGTTATTATTCCAATATAATCGTATAATCAGGGTTTATAGCCAGTTAAGTGTAGCGATGATTTGTGCGCCGCAGAGTGCGCGCTCTGGTGTGTGTCACGATAATCAAGCGATGACGGTTATAGTCGTCGAACACAGAATAAGTGGGTGTGCGGCTGTTAAAATATTGAATAGTCAAAATGACCAACTTTATTTTAGAAAATAATGAACAATTTTGTTAGTAATTTACACACAGTTTCTTAAAATGGAAAAAATTAGAGAATAACCCACCATTTCCAGTGGGAAGATTAAAAAATGATCCGCTAGGAGGGGCAGCACCAGTAGGGGAGGGATGGTTTCTCTTATGTTT